ACAATGGTTTGAATTGAGATGGATGTCATTTTAATATAGTATAGTTCCTAATTTTGTAATCAAGCCATAAGTGTTTGTATTATTGTATGTAACGTCCTTCAGCAAAGTCTAGTCCTTAGATAATTTTAAAAGTATTCAACCAAATATTAATTAGTGCTTTGATGTTTACTCATCTTGCTAGTGGCACAGTGCTGTTAATTAAATAAACTATGGCTATTGAGTGAAATTTTATGTTTCAACTAACATTTTGAATAGTTCAGTAAACCTCAAGTAACTGGAGGGCTTAGGGAATGGACTGTTTTTACTTAGTTCAATTTTGTTATTAAGTGATGGTTTGTTTGAAATTTATAAAATATTCCAAGATATATTAGTATTCTTTATGAATTAAATTCAGTTTTTCTTTGATTGAATATCTTTCAATATATGTCAGGGTCATCATATAGTTGGAAAAGCTATTTCTCTGACTGTACAATTTCATTTTTTCTATTCCAGTTCTGTAACCTTTCACTCAGTGATTGAATGTATTCTGTTATCATCTGTGTAATATTGATTTGCAATCAATATTTTCAGCCCGGATTTTTTTTTCTTTTTTCTGAGTTCCAGATCCATGTCAAAATGCCTGTTAGATATCATCACTTGAGTATTCCACAGACATTTATTTATTTAGGTGAAATCTTTTCTTTAAAATTTTATTTTTCAATTACAGTTGACATTCGATATTATTTTATTTTAGTTTCAGGTGGAGCGCATGGTGGTTAGACAATTATATAATTTCCAAAGTGATCCCCCTGATAATTGAAGTACTGACCTGTCACCATACATAGTTTTTACAATATTATTGACTATATTGCTTATGCTGACCTTTATATCCCATGACTATTTCGTAACTACCAATTTGTACTTCTTGATCCCTTCAGCTTTTTTATCTATCCCCCAACACCCCTCCCCTCTGGCAACCATCAGTTTGTTTACTGTATCTACAAGTTTGTTTCTATTTTGTTTGTTCACTTATTTTGTTCTTTAGATTCCACAAATAAGTGAAATCATACAGTATTTGTCTTTCTCTTCTGCTTATTTCACTTAGCATACCCTCTAGGTCCTTCAATGTTGTTGCAAATGGTAAGATTTTATTCTTTTTCTTTTACAGCCAAGCAATATTCCATTGTATAAACGTACTGATACTTTTTTATCCACTCATCTATTGCTAGCCACTTGGGTTGCTTTCATATCTTGGCTATTGTAAATAATGCTGCAATTAACTTAGGGGTGCATATATTCTTTCAAATTAGTGTTTTGGGTTTCTTTGGGTATATACCCAGAAGTGGAATATCTGGGTCATAAGGTAGTTTCATTTTTTATTTTTAAGGAACTTCCATACTGTTTTCCATAGTGGCTGCACCAATCTGCATTCCCATCAACAGTGCACAAGAGTTCCCTTTTCTCCACACCCTCTACAGCACTTATTGTTTGTTGATTTATTGGTGATAGCCATTCTGACAGGTGTGAGGTGATACCTCATTGTGGTTTTAATTTGCGTTTTTCTGATGATTAGTGATGTTGAGTATCTTTTCATATGTCCATCGGCCATCTGTATGTCCTCTTTGGAAAAGTGTCTTTTCAGGTCCTCTGCCCACTTTTTAGTTGTTTTTTGGTTTTTTTTTTTTGGTGTTGAGTAGTATGAGTTCTCTATAAGTTTTGGATATTAACCCCTTATCAGATATATCATTGGTGAATATTTTCTCCCATTCTGTAGGTTGTCTTCTTGTTTTGTTGATGGTTTCCTTTGCTGTGCAAAACCTTTTTAGTTTGATGTAGTCCATGTGTTTATTTTTTTTCCTGTGACCCCTGCGCAAGGAGATACTCATCCTCAAATGGCTTTCCTTCCATTGCAAGGGGCAAGGTGTCCATTGTATTGTTCAAATCCATCTCCTGTGCTGTTGACCACATCTCCTCTCAAACCCTTTGATATTGCTTCATCAGTCACTTTCTGTCTTCTCTATTTTCACCTTTTTACCCCTCTCTTTACTCAGCTTAAACATATATATATAGATTTTTTTTTCCTTGGGAAAAACAAAATTCTCTTTCAAGCCTGTGCACTGCTTCTGTCACCAATTTGTATGTATTTTTCAACCAAGCATTTTGAAAAAGTAGTCTACAAAGCTTTCACTCTGTCCCTTTAGTTTTCTCCTTAGCCCACCACAACCTGTCTTCTCTGTACCGCTGCTGAAACTGCCCATTGCCTGCTTCATTTCCAGGTTCTGTGGATACTTCAGTCCCTTTATTAATGGGCTTCTCTTCTGTTTTGACATTGCTGATTATTTGTTAGCTATTCTCTATTTCCTTGAGACCTTCATCCCTGGGTTCTATGGCACTGCCCTTGCTAGGATCTCCTCCTAATGCCTGACTATTCTCTAGCTCTTTTGTTGGTTCCTTTTCTATAGGTTCCTGAAATGCTGGTGTTCTGAAGGTTTCTTTCTCAACCCACTGCTCTTCTCACTATGCATTAAGGTTCCTAACTTTTTGGACCTTAAACAACCTGTTGAAAATTATAGAATCTTTCTTTGCCAAAATATAGTTAGAGCACATACATACAAAATTTAATGTAAACTTTCATGGTCTTCCAAAAGCCATGTTAAGAATCTGCTATATTCATTCAAGCCCAGTGATAGTTATCCTTATGGCTTCATTTGCCTCTTTTGTACAGATGACTTCCAAATCTCTTAAATTGATCTTGGCCTCTCACCATAACTTAAGATGCATATTCTTCCTGCATTCTTTCATTACCTTGGTTCAGATCCTTATAACCTTTCACCGAGACCACTGCAACAGCTTCTAACTCTTTTCCCTGCCTTCAGGCTTGTGTCCCTTAGATCATCCTCCACAAAGTCTCCAATGATTTATTACTCTGACCTTTTCAGCTCTAAGGTCTGATTCTCTATTTTCTATGGAAATAGTCCAGACTCTTGCATGACACACATCCTCCCATACCATCCTTCTTTTGTGAGGGATCCTTGTACCTACTATAATCTGTGCATGTCTTCGTTACTGTATAGACTTTAAATAGAAGTTCTCTTTTTCAGTGCTATCAGAATTGAAAGTTGAGCAGTTAATTGAAGAAATTGATTAAAGGTAAAGTTATCAAAAAATAATACATGCAAAAAATGTTATGGATAAGCAAGAAATTAGATATAAAGGAAAATGCTAAGGAGCATTTAAGTTATCTTCTGCTTAAGGATTATATTCTACAGAAGAGTAGAATTTACAAACTTCTGTAAAAATTCATTTATGCCAATGTTAGATTTTTCTTTATTCTGATGAATCTTTTACTAAATTAAAAAAAGAATAGTACTTTTATGTTAAAAATACATGCATACTTAAAACATTTTATTTCAACTTAAAGCATATAAAGACATTCATTTGCATTTTTTTTTCATATATGTCCAAGGCATTTCTTTCCGTATGGGTACTTGATTGGAATTCATTGTTCATTCTTGATTAAACTGAACCCAGAATGCATCCTCTAGCTTTTTGTTTGAAATGAAAGTTTATGTTTAAGTGAAAGAACTTAAGCCACTTGTGCAGCAATCTGAGTGCAGCTTTGTATGAGTGCAGTCATAGCTTTGTATGATCCTTGCCCCACCACCAATTTTCAGTTGCATTGTCCATATCTAGTTCAATAGTAGTTTGCTTTTCTAACGGAGACTTATTTTATAAAGTCTTTCCAAGGCATAAAATCTTAGAAGTAATAGTTGTCTGTGTTTTTAAATTACATTTTATTGGTTTGGTTATTAGTGTAGCATTTCATTAAAGTATACTTATAATACAAGAATGTGGTTTATGAACACACCCTCACTGAGGGGAGTAGAGGTTGCTTTATGATCAGAATGCTGTAGATATTAGTCATTTTATAGAGGGAATGGATATTTGCTTATTAACATGGCAAAGTTGGTTGAGTGGAGGTTAGTTAACAGAGTTTCTACTGTAATTATTTTTATTGCTTATCTCCCTTTATTACAATATGAGTTCATATAAGGCAAGGACTATATATATTTTTCATTTTTGTATATCTAACTTTTACCTATGCACAGTGAATATTATATTATATTATTATAATATATTATATTTATTATATTATTATATTAGTAAATATTATATTTGTTGGATGAACAAATTCTTATATAGGTCATATAAATGTGAATACTCAGAAAGAACACTGGACTAGGACNTTATATTATTATATTAGTAAATATTATATTTGTTGGATGAACAAATTCTTATATAGGTCATATAAATGTGAATACTCAGAAAGAACACGACTAGGATNTTTGTTGGATGAACAAATTCTTATATAGGTCATATAAATGTGAATACTCAGAAAGAACACTGGACTAGGATTCAACTAGTATAGACAGATCATTGGCCCTGGAGCCCAACTGAGGTTTGAATCCTTTCTCATTTATAGTCTTGAGCAGATTACATTGTCTTTTTCATTTGCCGAATGGGGAAACAATAAGTTTTGGACTGCGTGGGGATTAAGTGGGAATATGCAGTGCCTAGCATAGTACTTGACAAAGTAAGCAGTCAACAAGTACCAGTTGTCCTGACAATGCCTGTCACTAATGAGAATGAGGGAATTCTCTTGTTCTATCTTTCCTCGTCGAGACACTTGAACGACATAATCTGTGAATTTTCCTCCAGTTCTAAAATACTCTTTCTAGAAACAATGTTTTATTTTTTGTACAGATTTATATAACAAAGACATGGGTAGTCCTTGATTTGTCGCATTTATGGAGCACAGTAAAGTAGGCAAACTCATTTCTTCATCATAACATTACACCTTGAAAAACAAATATTTTCAGATTTTAGACATTCGTTAGTTGAATTCTCTAATAAAGTGTGAAGAACAGCTTAGCTTTACTAATCACTGTCATACTATCTACATAAAGTTAAAGTAGGAGGTAGAAAAGGAAGTTTGGAGGAGGTTGAAAGCATTAGCTTAGAAAAAGTGAGATAAAATAAACTTTGAAACTAAATTTATGGATATGTGCCTCCTGATTAAAAAATGGAGATAGGATGAGAAAGATGGAAACAAAACGTGTGTTTTTGGAACAGCTCTGAGCTTGTTTTCCATTTTATATTCCAAATTTTGCTTTGTTTAAAGAAATAAGTGAATTAGCAGAATTCCTTTCAATATTCATTCTATAGCTGATACTAATGCTTAGTTTTATATTGCAGTTATTATTTGGTATGGAAGAAGATGAGTTTTTTGAAGAAAAAACATTCCAGCATTATTGTGCAGAATTCATCAAACATTCACAGCAGATAGGTGATGGTTGGGAATGGAGAACTTCAAAGGTAAGAACAGATCATTTTATTTTCTATTTTGATGGAGTTGTCTTTCTTTTATTTTTGTCCCCCAAGTAAACCCTTAGTAATTAAAACTAATGTATGAAAGCTAGCTTGATTTAGTAAAAGGCTTAAATTGAAGAATGTTTTAAAACAGATGTCCCTTTCATTACTTCAACTATAGGTACTCATTATAATTAGGCTAATGAAGTATTATCTAGAAAAGTCTTTAGGTGACTTGCTTTAATTTAATAGATAAGAATGCTTAGCATATTAATTATCTGAATATAAACAGATGCTTCTGTGAAGCTTCTAACCATTTGTTTACACTACTCATTTTCTTAGGAAGCTATCTTTGTCCAGAGAGCGAAAAGATAACCCTGAAACGAAACCACAAACAATCACAAATTCTGAAATATTGGGGACTGTGTTAATTAGGATTTTTTTTTGTTTTGTAATTTTTTTCCTTTTCCTTTATTGACAAAATTGGGAATTTTTTCATAGTGTAAACACATTTTGAAACATTCTTTCTTTTTGTTCTATTCAATAATAATGAAAAATGGCTCATTTATTCTCACACATGTATTTAGTAAGGTTCTCTGCCAAAAACTTTTAAAGAGTTCCTTGAAGTCCCTTTCATAGAGAGTGAGTTTTCTCTACTTGCCATCGTATTTGATTCCTGAAAAAGTGATGAATCTTGATTCTCTGCTGATTGGCTCTGTTTCCTGTCTGCACTTTGAGACTCATGAACAGCTCTGAGCTGATTCCTGGGATTGAGAACTAGGCCAGGGAAATGCATGTCTTGATCGGGTCTAGAGTGTCGCTGGGGAGAGAAGCTATCATTTCTTCTTGGGTCATATGTCAGCTAGGCTTGGACGGGGTGGCTCATGGATGGTTCAGAGGTGTGGTAGAGTCCAGCTCCACTATCTCAGTTAGGGACAGACTGGACGGTCTATACACCCCTAGGGCATCTCCTGCTCCAGGATAATGACTTTACTGGCAGTTTTTACTGATTTTTTTTCTTATTTTATAATTTTGTTTTCTATTGTGTTTGCATTTTTATTTATATTATTTCTTCTATGATTATTATTAATATATGAAAGAACTGCTAATTTTTGTATATTAATTTGGTAACTATTCAATCACTGATTTTTCCTTTTAGTTTTCATAATATTTCAGTGATTTCCCTATAATCTTCTAGGTAGAGTGAGGTCATCTGCAAATACAGAGGTTTCTGTTGCCGTATTTGTAATATTTCTATTATTTTATGAATTGATTAGAAAAAATGTTATGTAATAGCGATAAATGTTCTGTTTGCCTTCATCCTGATCTTAATATTAATACTGCTGATATATAATAATTAAACACAATCATTGGTAGTTTATTCATTGAACGGGTGAAAATTTATGACCCTTTTTGACCTGTAATAAATTTGTGTGGCTACTCCTTGGGAACTTACCCTTTTTGATTTTTTAAAAAAAAAAAACTTTTCTTTTATCTTAACCTGGAGGCTGAATGATATAGATTCCTGTTACCATTTCTGTGACCTAGCAGAATGAGGGAGAAGGTTAGGGAGGGAGCTGGAACTAGACTGCATTTGTGTTTGTGTATGTGTTGAGGCACTGGGGAAGATCTCCAGGAGGGAAATTTTATCTGCCAGAAGTTTCTTCACTAAATTTTTTGAAACTAGTTCCCCATGAACCAGTTTCCAGGATTTGTTTATATTCTTGTTCTGGCCTCTGCTTCAGGGAAGAGTATGGCTAAGTCTAACTTTTTGTTTGCTGATACTGTCTGCAGAGTTAGGAGTTTCCTGCCCTTTGGGGTGAGAATTGCACCTTTAATTAAGGATAGTTCTTTTTAATATGGGGGTGAGCCCATAGATAGTACCAAAACAAAACAAAACAAAACAAAACAAAACAGAACACTATTGAGAGAAAAACTATAGCCTTAGGGCAAGGCCTGTAAACTCAAAACTCTGCAGAGACCAGGTGTGGTAATGTAAATGGATAAAGCTGCCAGGGACACGACAGTGTAGACACTGAGTCCTGTGGTCTGTGGCTGACCAGAGTGCTTGGCCTGTTGCAAGGTTGGAAACCTGGGCCCAAGGGTTACCAGATCTTCCAAGAAAAGAAAAAAGGATTTGGGGGGAGAACTCTCTAAAATTTTAAATGTTGGCAAGTAATTAAAAAAGACATTTTTAAAACACAGAGAGGACCAAACCCAGTATGCCAGTAATGCATAATAATGGGGGCTGTGTGTGGTCAGTTGATGACGTCTGGAATTGTGTCTACTTGGTGTGACTGTAGTTTCTCACCCAGCCCTGCCTCAGTGCCCACTGTTGATCTGAGTTAGAAAAGGGGGCTTCAGGCAAACAGATTCCTTCCTTCTAAATTTGGGATATTAGTATTTTTGCTAAGTAATTCCAGGAGTCCTGACCACTTTTATGAAGGAAATTGTACACCAGTCACTTGGGTGTTTCCCTCAAACCTTCCATCTCTATTAATATGTCAGTCTTTTTGTGGGACTGTTTGGAGACAAACTTAAACTGCTGTTTTACTTTTTAGGCTCTAGAAACTTATTTTTATTAAAAAAATATTGTATTGAAATACGATTAGAAAACAGTAAACTGCACACATTTAAAGTGTATAATTGGTAAGTTTTGACATATGTATAGACCTGTGAACCTTCAACACAATCAAGAAAGTGAGTATATCCATCACCCCCAAAAGGTCCCTTATACAATTTTGTAATACGTCCCTTTGCCCCTTCCTGCCCCTGAAAGTTGTTTTTAAAAAGATTCTTGTTTATCTGAATATGTAGAGGCTCCTTTAAAGAGTACACATATTGTCACTCATACTTTCAGATTTGCTCATAAATCACTTTGGCACCATTCATTTTATTTTTTAATATTGAAAGAATTGCAACAATATTTAGAGAATTGGTATAATTCAACTTTATAGATAAGATGAAACATCATTTTTTTCCTGCAAAATTGATAAGAAGCGCAGTGTGAATTAATGAAGCATGTAATAATTTTTTAAAAAAATATATATTTATTGATTTCAGAGAGAAGAAGGGAGAGGGGAAGAGGGAGAGAGATATAGAAACATCAATGATGAGAGAGTCATCATTGATCGGTTGCCTCCTGCATGCCCCCAACTGGGGATAGAGCCCGCAACCCGGGCATGTGCCCTGACCGGGAATCTAACTGCAATCTCCTGGATCCTAGGTCGATGCTCAACCACTGAGCCACACCCAGCCAGGCATAATTTAAAATTTTTTAAAAGAAAGCAGTTTCTGAAAGTAGTCAAAACAGTTCTAATTTCTATATATAAAGGTATGCAGAACAGGAAAATTTTTCTAAATCATTATTTTTCAGTGGGGCTGGATGCTGTTGGCGTCTGGCAGGATAATTCTTCTTTTTTCTCTACCCCCAACATTTCCAAACCCTTCAGGTAGGTGGTACACTCTCATTGAGAGCTATTGTTTAACATGATGGTCTGTCTGAAATTAATGATTGTGGTTACGAGCATGGACTTCAGAGTGAGGTAGATCTGGATTCAAATCCCTGCTCTACCATTTACTAGCTGAATATTGGACAAATTACTTAATATGTCAAAACTTCATTTTTTTATCTGTAAGATAAGCATAACAGAAATATCCACCTAATAAGGTTATTATGCAGATTAAAGGAGATTTGCATTGAAAGAGTTTAGCACAGTTTATGGCATGCAGAAGCCATATATGGTTGTAACTTTGAGCTGGTCATTTGAAGTACTCAGGGTCTTTTATAGAATAGTGCTGATGAAAAGGTAGTTAGGATTTAGAAATCTCAAGTAAAGTCTGTTCAGTACTACATATGCTATACTGGTCTGTATGGTATTATTCTCTAGGGTAAGTAGGGGGAGCAGAAGATGGCGAATAACAGTGAATGCGACTGTTTGAAACACATTAAATATCTTAAAAGTCCATGAGTTTATAATGTTGAGAGAGAGAAAGAGAGAGAGCATAGAAGATGGGAGAGCAGAACAGTCTCCAAACCTCATTGAACATCATTGGGAATATCTAGGACATCAACTCCTTGTTCTGAAAATTGTTGGTGAGAAAGGAAGAAATAAGCATTTTTCCTGTCTTTCCTATATGAACTATATTTCATGGTAACCAAATAGCCTAATTTGAATTAGGATTTTATCAAGTAGAGAGCTAAACAGAGAATTGGGAGTGAATTTCTGTTAGATGATAACATCTTGAATTACACAATCTCATTCTGTTGAGAGATTTCATTTATTTTGGAAGCATCATATTATTAAAGAGCATTAAATAACACACACACACGCATGCACGCACGCACACAGGTCCTTCAGGAAGGGTGGGCATCTTGCTTGCTCAGGATGTTTGAGCATAGTCTCTGACCAATCACTGACCCCAAAGCTGTGCATAAATGAAGAATCAGAAGAAAACCAAACCAACCCCAAAGCTATGCATAGATGTAATGCTGAGAGAAAGAAGCCAGACTGAAAAGAGTACAACTTTTTTAGCCTTGAGCTGTGTATGCATAGCTGAGGAGCCTGAACTGTATTCTGAAATAATGGAGAACCACTGAAGGATTTTAACCAGGGTTCAATGGATTGGAATTGCATTTTATAAGATCACTTTGGCAGGGTGAAAGGCAGGTTGGCAGAAGGCAAGATGTGAGACAGAAAGCAGAAATAATGGCCTGAACCAAGACAGTGGCAATGGGAAAAGAGGGCAGAGGACGCAGAGGTAAGCCAATTTGAGGGATTTTTAAAGGTGAAATAAACTGATAGAATGATCCATTAGGTCTAAGTATTGAAGAGACAGGAGTAAAAAGCCTTCAGGTTTATGGCCTGAGAGCTAGGAGGATGGTGGAGTCATCTACTACAATAAAGAATTCAACTAATAGGTTGAAAGATGATGAGCTCAGTTTTGGTCATGTGGAGTTGGAGGTCAACAGAAATCTAATCTGTGAGATTGCTTATGTAATTAAA